TAACAAACAAGGGGGAATTTCTTTCAGCATGAGAATCGGGTTTCCTTCAATCTGAAGTCTGTTTGTATAATTATTTTGGACTATAGCGTCCTTTAACTTCTTGGAATTAAAAGTCACTAAACAGTCTCCAGCTAATTTCCTGGCCTTAACCAATTTAGGCCTCGCCCCAAAACAGCTGTCAATTGCATCCAAAATGTAACCCTGTTCTTCACCTAGCCAATTGGCAATTGCCTTGGCTAGATAAACTTTGAGGTCCTCTTCCCCCTCGTCTGGCACACCCCTCATTCTCACTACCTGTGATTTCTGCCTCATCTCCAAAACTGCTAAACTGTCTTCAGACTGATCCTACCAGAGAGTTCTGCCATGTCCCTCCTTATTGTTGCCTGCTCTTTTCTCAAATCAGTGTTGTCACTTTCAATTTTTTGAGATTTGGCCTCCAAACCTTTCACAGAGAGGTCCAAAGATTCTTCTTCTTCTTCTTCTTTTTGTCAAATTCTCTAGTTTATTGGTCATCTCTGTGACCATCTTGGTATTTTTTCCCAATTCCGCTACCATCTTTTCAGAATGTTTTTGCATTTCTTTTAACATATATTTTTTTAAAAATAGTTTTTATTATTTTTTCAATATATACATCCTTTATGAAATATTTCCATTTTTTCCTGCCCCACTCCCCTGGACTTCCCTCATAGTTCCACTTTGTTTTACTTTCAATTTATTCATCCTGCTTATTATTTCCCCAATTAATTCCTGATATTTTAACATATCTTTTAAAAATTCTAACAAAAAGTCTGCCATTTCTGGGGAGACAGGTCTATCAGATATGTCCTGCACAGATGCCCTTCTGGTTGCTGTAGCTGTGGCTGTCTGTTTTCTGGTTATTCTAAATTATTTTATACTATTTCTATACCAGCCAGTTTCCTGGCTTGTTCTCAAAACAATAGTTATTTCAGCTTATTCTTATCAGTCCTTCAAGGTTACAGCTCTCCCCGTTTGTTCTCACCACCTAGCCTTGGTTAGGAGAGGGCACGAGGAGAAGCAAAATTACCAAACAACCCCCCCCCCCGATTTCTGTTAAGCAAGTAGGAATCCTGGATATGTGATTTATTCTTATAACCACTTTACAGGCTGAAATGTGGACAGATGGGATAGAAATATTTTAAAATAACTATACTAGGTTAGTCAATGATATTGCCTTCGGATTGCTTCCCTGTTCCAAGTGTCTAATGTGTTTTAAAATGTTCTTAAGCAGTCTGTGTCATTTAAAGTTTTTTTTTTATTTTCCCCCTCCCCTTTTGCTTTGTTGGGGATGGGATGAACAACTGGTTGGAGATTAATTTTAGTATAATTGTTACGGTTTTGTTTGGTTTTTTTATTGTTGTATTAGCTGTTGTATAGTTTACGTTTTGTTTTAAGGGGCGGGGTCAAGGCTGGATGGGAGTGGGCCCCAGCCAACAGAATGGCTGGGGCAGGTTCCATTGGGGGGGGGGGGACTGGGACATCTGATCTCGGTGGTCACAAGTAGGAGGAGGAGTTACGCTAAGACCAGACCATGTCATTACCAAGGAAGCAGATTTAGTTGCTGTTCGAGGACTATCCCTGCCTCCAGGTCTGGTCTTGACCGGATGGATACTGGAATCAGCAAGGGATAAACACATGACCTGAAGGTGCCGCTGTGCAATGAAAGGTCAATGATTCATAAGACCACTGCCATCCATTACTTGATCGTGGATGGAGGACTTGACCTGGCATGTGTAACAGAGACTTGGTGGGGTGAAGCAGATGGGCCTGTTCTTGCTGCTGCTTGTCCACCAGGTTTCTCTTATGCACAGCAACCCAGGTCATGTGGGTGGGGAGGGGGGGCTGCAGTGATTTTTAGGAAGTCATTAGCTTGCACCAGGCATCCTACTGGTTGTCCTGAGGGATTTTAACATCCACGTCGACACAACCTTACAAGGGGCTGCTCGGGACTCCGTGGAAAGCATGGCCTCCATGGGGCTGTCCCTGAATAAGTTTGGCCCAACTCATAGTCATGGACATGGCTTAAACCTGGTGTTTACCTCTATGGATGTGGGTGATCTGACACTAAGTAAAAGCGAAACAAAAGAAGTGCCATGGTCAGATCACTTCCTGGTGCAACTGGACTTCTCCGCGGCCCTTCCCCTCTGCAGGGAGGTGGGACCAATTCAGATGGTCTGCCCCCTGGCACTTAATGGATCCAAATGGTTTCCAGAGAGTGGTAAGGGATGCTTTATCCCATGTTGATGGCCTTTCAACTGATTCCCTGGTGGCCCGCTGGAATGCAGAGTTAACCAGGACTATCGACTGTCTTGCTCCGAAGCGCCCCCTCCAGTTGTATGGAGCCCGGACAGCCCTGTGGTTTTCCCTGGAGCTGAGGGCGATGAAACAGTCATTGAGATGGCTAGAGTGCTGGAAAACTCATTTTGAACCGGACCGGACATGGGTTAGAGCTCAACGTCGAGCCTACCAAGTGGTGATAGCGAGGGCAAAGTGTACTTCCTTCACCACCTCTACTGCATCTGCAGAAAATAGTAGCAGGAGACTCTTTCAGGTGGTTCACAATTTAACTGAACCACATTTGCCACCGGGGTCTGGTAAAATATTTCCTGCAACGATTTTGCAAAGTTTTTTGCAGATAAAGTCGCTCAGATTCAGGAAAAGGTAGACTCCACCGTGGGAGCAGGGCCAGGGGAGGAGAGTGCTAGAGCCCTGTCTGGTTGAGCTGCATGGAATCAATTCCAATCTGTTACCTTCAAGGATGTGGACAGGCTGCTTAGACAAGTGAAACTGACCATCTGCCTCCTTGATCCTTGCCCATCCTAGCTTATAAAAGTGAGCCAGGAAGAGCTGGGCAATGGGCTTGGCAGGGTGGTGAATGCTTCTCTTTGTGAGGGAGCTTTCCCAGACCTGCTAGAAGAGGCAGTCATTAAACCGCATCTTAAAAAAACATCTCTAGACCTGGCCAATATGGCCAACTATCACCCAGTCTCAAATCTTCCATTCTTGGGCAAGGTATAGAGCGAGTAGTTGCTGAACAACTCCAGGCACGCCTGAAAGAAGCAGATCATTTGGATCCCTTCCATTCGGGATTCAGGCCTCATCATGGGACTGAAACTGCCTTGGTAGCGCTGCTCGATGATCTCCAGCGGGCTAGGGACAAAGGTGAGAGCTGTTTCCTAGTTCTTTTGGATCTCTCAGTGGCTTTTGATACCATCAACCATCACATTCTTCTGGACCGTCTAGAGGGGCTGGGAGCACTGTTATACAGTGGTTCCGCTCCTTCCTCCTGGGCTGTGTTCAGAAAGTGGGGGGGAGGGGGATGAGTGTTCCCCTCTTGTGGGGTGCCTCAGGGTTCCGTCCTCTCCCCCATGCTTTTCAACATCTATATGAAGTTGCTGGGAGAGAGCATCAGGGGGTTGTGGCTGGGTGTTCATCAGTATGTGGATGACACTCAGCTCTACCTCTCTTTCAAATTGGAACCAGTGAAGGCAGTGAATGTCCTGTGTGAGTGTCTGGAGGCGGTTGGAGGATGGATTTAATGGCTTGAGATTGAATCCTAACAAGACAGAAGTACTGTTCTTGGGGGACAGGGGGCAGGCAGATGTGGGGGACTCCCTGGTCCTGAATGGGGCAACTGTGCCCCTGAAGGTCCAGATGCTCAGTCTGGGAGTCATTTTGGCCTCACTGCTGTCCATGGAGGCACAGGTTAATTTTGTGTCCAGGGCAGCTGTCTACCAGGTATGCAGGCTGAGACCCTACTTGCCCACAGACTGTCACGCCAGAGTGGTGCATGCTCTAGTTATCTCCCGCTTGGACTACTGCAATGTGCTCTACGTGGTGCAACCTTTGGAAGTGACCCGGAAACTACAACTAATCCAGAATGCGGCAGCCAGACTGGTGATTGGGAAAGGCTGCCGAGACCACATAACACCGGTCTTGAAAGACTTACATTGGCTCCCAGTACGTTTCCGAGCACAATTCAAAGTGTTGGTGTTGACCTTTAAAGCCCTAAACGGCCTCGACCCAGTACACCCGAAGGAGCGTCTCCACCCCCATCGCTCTGCCTGGACACTGAGATCCAGCTCTGGTGGTTCCCTCACTATGAGAAGCCAAGCTACAGGGAACCAGGCAGAGGGCCTTCTCGGTAGTGGCGCCCGCCCTGCGGAACGCCCTCCCATCAGATGTCAAAGAGATAAACAACTATCTGACTTTAGAAGAAATCTGAAGGCAGCCCTGTTCAGGGAAGTTTTTAATGACTGATGTTTTATTGTATTTTTAATCTTTATTGGAAGCCGCCCAGAGTGGGTGGGGAAACCCCGCCAGATGGGCAGGGTATAAATAAATTATTATTATCCATCCTCCAACCGCCTCCAGGCACTCACATAGGACATTCACTGCCTGTTACCTGGATTCAAGAACTAAGGTATTTACCATCTCAAAAGAGGCCACCGGTGACCAATTTTGTCAGACAGGAGACAAGCTACATTTTTTAATTTCTGTTTTAGACTGCCTTTTTCTGTGACATGTGTATGATACTTTTGGGTGGTCTTTGACTAAGGGACTGGGCAATTTCCAAAATCTTTAAAAGTTATTGCACACCCTTGTTCCAGGTCCTCCTCACTCCTCTGTTGCAAATGAAAAATAAAATCTTCCTCTTTCCACCCTTAGCTATGGGCAAAGCATCTTTTCTGCAGGAACATCCATCCCACTGTGCTCCATCCACAATAAGGGGCCTGGTATTGCCGCGCAGAACAATCCACCCAAGCACGGTCTTTCACAATTGATTTTAAAATCCTTTTTTTTTTTTTTTATTCACTGAAGGGTGTGTATGTTTCTTTTTAAAAAGGTGCAATTATAGAATTCTGGTTTGTGAAGTTTCGCCTGGAGCTGAAGCTCTGTAAACTACAGGGCCCAGAATTCCTTGAGTGAGAGGAGGAGTCCGCTGCCTCCCCGAACCTTCTTCCTGTGACGCCGATGCCGACATGGCAAGATGCCCTCTGACGTCTCCGATGACGCGACCCGTCGCAGCCTCTAGTACGGCAGCAGGAAGGAACCGACGTTCCTCGCCTGGGAAGGAAGCTGAGGCGCGCATGCGTGCGTGGCCGGGTAGGAAGCGACGGGGCGGAGCTTGCAGGTGCGCGAGAGAAGGCAGGGCGGCTGTCCGTCCAATAGGTGCCTCTTCTGCGCGAACTCCTGCGCATGTGCAGAGTGTGGCGGGGCTTCCTCGCGCAGCGGGGTCCCGCGAGATCTGCGCGGGGCTCCCGCATCTCCTTTGGGGTCGCGAGGGAGAGAGGAATTCCGCCGAGGGACCCGACCCCCCGCCTTCGGGGACCCGATTCGGAATCTGCTTGGCGTTTCTAATCCTCACCTCAGGCATTATCTCTGGCTCCGAAGAGTCGAAAAGGGTGACGACATTATTCTTCAGCCTCCAGGCCTCGCTCCTCTCAGTAAGTGCCGCTGGATATTTGCCCTTTACTAAGGAAGGGTTGGGGGGGCAGCGGCCTCCCCCCAATCAAGTAAACAAATAAAAACGCTAAACTAAAAGTAGAAATAATCAGAATATATTTTTGCAAAATACTTTCATTAAATATTTTACTTTAGACTTTTTAAAATAAGATGGAAAAAATCATGTTCTTTGTAATTTTGCAAAATATTTCTGCCGCATGAAAGGTTCTCCCTGATGTAACTTCCTAGTTTTCAATGATTGAGGATTTTGACAGAATTTTCTGAACACTTGGGGTCAAAAGAAAGTAGTTTAAAACAACTGTTGTTGAGGCATTCCAAATCTGCAAGAGAGCCAGACAGAATGGTGACAGGTGCATGTCCCTCCCCCCCCAGCTATGCCTTCAGTGGAGGTAGGTACTGCACACAGTGTTGATGTCAGCGATCACATGGTCTGCAGGTTTTTCCTTGCTGTGAGGTTGTGTTCAAGTGCAGAACTTGACCTGATCCCATAGGAGTGAATGGCAGCCATTCAGTATTGTGGGAGAAAGTAAAGTGGAACACTTCTTCACACCAAGTCCTGCTCTTAGTGATGCAGCGATTGAAAACTAAGGCATTGAGCAACTGGCCTCTTCCTATCTGAATGGCTCCATTCTGGATTGTTTTGCTTTATTGTGCTGCAAGGTAGGAGACTGGCTTTTATATAGATTTAGGGGGAAACTGCATGATGCTTCAATGAGGAATATGTGAGGGGCAAAAATGAGGCATAGCACTCATAGTTGTGAAGAGTTAGGGTTTCAGGGTCTCTTATTCACAGCCCTCTGGTTCCTAGGGTTTAAAGGCTTCCCTTCTTGAGCCCTTCCCCATTGGTTTTAACTGTTGTCTTTGATTGGCAGGTGGTTATAGTGACTCAGAAATGGAAGGCTCTACTGTGGAGGAAGAAGAGGATTGCCCTGAGCTGATTCCAATAAGAGAACAGCAGATAAAGGACCATGCAGGACAGGATATTCCATATAAGATTCCTGTTACCATTATTACTGGCTATTTAGGTAATAAACTGTATGCCAAATTGTCACTGTAGGGTGCTTAATAATGCATTTTTATTATTATATGGAACTATGATTTGTTTTATTTAAAAGTAGTACAGTGGTGCCTCGCAAGACGAAATTAATCCGTTCCGCGAGAGTCTTCGTCTAGCGGTTTTTTCGTCTTGCGAAGCAACCCTATTAGCGGCTTAACGGATCAGCGCTATTAGCGGTTTAGCGGCTATTAAAGGCTTATCGGCTTATCGGATTAGCTGCTAAAAGGCTATTAAAGGCTTAGCGGCTTAGATAAAGGGGGGGAAAGCGAAAAAAAAATCTCAAGACTCGCAAGACATTTTCGTCTTGCGAAGCAAGCCCATAGGGGAATTCGTCCTGCGAAGCAACTCAAAAACTGAAAACCCTTTCGTCTAGTGGGTTTTCCGTCTTGCGAGGCATTCGTCTTGCGGGGCACCACTGTATTACATCAATTTTTGCACTTGTCTTGTTTTCCTTGTATATGCTCTATACTAGAGAAGAGTATAGTAGAGTTCATGTAAGAAATTTAAACTAATGTAAAAAAATAAATAAATTGTGTTATGAATTAAATCCCTGTGCTGTTGACGTGATGTGATTAGAGAGCAAGGATGTTCAGGTCAGTTGTTGGAGCATCAAGCCTGCATTTAGAAGCAAAGAAATGCCTTATACTGCTTCTCCTTGTGAGAAGCTTACATGCATTGTATAATCTCTAGGTAAATCAGAAGTCAAGATGCAAATATCAGTCATGATGCTGATTCCCTACTTTGCAGGATTTGAGCATCTGTACAGGGCTCAATTGCTATCACAGATAAGTTTTTGAGTTCTATGACAGCAAGGTGATGATGGTGCCTTGGCATCTTTTAAGGGGGTAGAGTCATGGTGCGCTTCTTGACCACTAAGAAACATCATTATTTTTAACTCAAAGACATTTCTATAACTTTAACTGAATCAAGAACTTATTAAAATTGCATTTTTTTAGCCCCCAGAAATTTGACCAAAGTACATTGAAGTTTATTTCCTAGTTTCAAAGTTGGTTTCATAAGTTTCTGAAGATATGCCATGATATCAAATCTAGGAGTTTTCCATTGTTCGATGTAGTTGTTTATAAATACTGGGAAATGAGTTTGTAGTGATCAAAACACACACATATACTGGGTGTTAAAATTACATGATGAAGCAAAGAAAGAAATGTTTTTAGTGTAACTTGAAAAATGTGCTGTGTCCCATAAATTTATATTAAGAACATGAGGTCCATCTTAAGACAATATGTGCAATGTTTGTGAAGAGATCAGGAATTAAGATTAACATTTCAGGATGTTCTGGTCACTGCCTGTAAAGTTCTATTTGAAAGCATATTTTTACTTCTAAGTTGTATATGTATTCCCCCCCCCATTTTCTTTGCATAAAAAGTTTGTTCTGTTTTTTTAGGTGCTGGAAAAACCACTCTTCTTAATTATATTTTGACAGAACAGCACAACAAGAGGATAGCAATTATTCTAAATGAATTTGGTGAAGGTATGTATAACTATGCATAAAACAAAAAGGTTTTGTATATCAGAGCCTAAATCTTGTAAAAATAAAAATGTTCTTGAAACACTTTGCACACTTACATCCTTGAGAGAGGAAAAAACTCATTTTTTATCTTTTAAATTACAGTGGTGCCCCGCAAGACGAATGCCTCGCAAGACGGAAAACCCGCTAGACGAAAGGGTTTTCCGTTTTGGAGGTGCTTCACAAAACGAATTTCCTATGTGCTTGCTTCGCAAGACGAAAATGTCTTGCCAGTTCCTGCGGGGTTTTTTTCCTTTTTCCCAAGCCGCTAAACCGCTTATCAGCTGCTGGCTAAGCCGCTTATCAGCTGATCTTTAAGCTGCTTAACAGCTGATGCTAAGCCGCTTATCAGCTGATCTTTAAGCCGCTTAACAGCTGATGCTAAGCCGCTTATCAGCTGATCGTTAAGCCGCTTATCAGCTCATCGTTAAGCCTCTTATCAGCTGATGGTTAAGCCGCTTATCAGCTGATCTTTAAACCTAAGCCGCTAATACTGTAGCGCTAAGCCGCTAAACCTCTAATGGGCTTGCTTCGCAAGACGAAAAAACCCGCAAGACAAAGAGACTCGCGGAACGGATTCTTTTCGTCTTGCGAGGCACCACTGTATTTGAAGTACAGTTGTTGCTTAGAAACATGTACATCTGCTCACCCAGCCGTATGTGTTTGGGTGCTCTTTGGTATTAGACTAATCCCTGTAGGCTGAATACATAGTATTTTCAACCAGCACAAAGGAGAACAGGCCCAAATGTTCTCAGCTGACTTTTCAAGGTATGAAGTACTTTGTTTGATCAGCTGGGATGGCATTGTTATAGGATATTATAATCTAGACTGCTCTTTATGAGGTGTGGAACAAAATTAAACCCTACCTGAATTCTCATTTTGTTTAGTAAAAGGTGCATACCTCACTTGTCACGTCTTCATTCAGACATCAATCCATGGTCTTCATCTAGTTTAGAGAAGAGGCTCAGCAATACAAATTGTCTGAAGAGTTTCCTCTTTCTTACTATATTTTCCTTTTACCTCTTATTCATGTTAGTATGTTATAACTGAAGTATAGGATGGTATGAAGTATGAAAGGTTCTCAGCCTAATTAAAATGGAGTTTGATTTGGACTTAGACTAGGATTTTTTTGGCCACCCTTGGCTAAAGGTATAATGTCTTAGTCCGAGAAGAATATAAGCCAAGACATTTTGGATTCTGCTTTGTGACTGCTGGAGCTTTGATCATTGTGCCTGCTCTCTCACGTTTATCAGACAGAATGAAAATTGAGTGTAAGACACAATGTTACAGTAGTATTTTTCTTGTATTTTCAGGAAGCGCCTTGGAAAAATCCTTGGCTGTAAGTCAGGGTGGAGAACTCTATGAAGAATGGCTGGAACTCAGAAATGGATGTCTATGCTGTTCTGTAAAGTAAGGGGTTTTTTTAAGGTAAGGTAAAGGACCCATGTGGCACTGTGGTCTAAACCACTGAGCCTCTTGAGCTTGCCGATCGCAAGGTCGGCAGTTCAAATCCACACAACAGGGTGAGCTCCCATTAGTTTGCAAACCCAGCTCCTGCCAACCTTGCAGTTCGAAAGCATACCAGTACATGACCCGGAAAAGCTGTCTGCAGACAAATGCCGGCTCCCTCGGCCTGAAAGCGGAGATGAGTGTTGCACCTCATAGTCAAATTCAACTGGACTTAACTGTCCAGGGGTCCTTTACCTTACCTTTCACCTTTTAAAACAACAACCACTGACTTTAAAATTGATCCTTTTCCTTTTAACTCATGTGTCTTCATAGTTCAGCATGATTCTCCTGTAGTTATTAAGTAGTTCTCCTGTGGCAGGAACCAGTTGGTGAGAATTCCAGTGTTAAAAAAAATACATAATATATTGCTGTTTATTAAAGTTGTGTTCTGCCTTCAACCCATAGATTCCCAGGGCAGTACATAGCAACCTACTTAAAACACAGAGCCAACAATAAAGAAAATAAGTATCAGAAAAAGACCTCAAAGATCAAACAGTCTAGCAGCAGTTGAGATCATACATCAATTCCCATAGGTCTGAAGTAACAAATGCAACTTAAGCTGATGCCTAAAAACAGTAGAGGACAAATGTGGGGAGGGAGCTCTGCATTTGGGGTGCCATTATTCAAGAGCTCCTGTTATGTGCCATTACCCTGAGATTAAGAGTCTCTTGCTCTACTGACTGAGCTATTCCATGATCCCATTTTGTGGAGCCAGTCAACAAGCTGGAGGTCACATTCTGCACCACCTGGAGTTTTTAGACCACCTTCAAGGACAGCCCCAAGTTGAGAGCTTTACAATAGTCTAAGCAAGAGGTTGTAAGAGCACTTATTACTATAGCCATGCTATCTTGGTTCAGGTAAAGAAAAAGCTGGTGAACCAGCCAGAGATAGGCATAGGTGTTCCTTTGCCACAAAAGACACCTAGGTTCCAAGTGGCAGTGATGACTCCAACAACAGCCACAAGTTACAAACATCAGAAGAAGGATCTCTCTTCAGAACAGACATCTCCCAACACGAGGAACCACTCAACATCAATCTCTTCATCTTACCAGGATTCAGCTTCCATTTATTGGTCCTCATGAATCCATTGCTGCCTCCAGATACCAGTCTATCACCTGACTTGTTGCATGTTATCAGCATACTGATGGTACTATACTCCAAGCTGCTGGGCAACAGATCTCAACTGCTTCATATAAATGCTAAAAAGGTGTAGAGATAAGATGGGATTGCAGGACCCCACAGCACAAGTGCCAGGGAAACTAAACAAAGGTCTCCCAGTGCTGCTCTTTGGTGTTGGTCTTGCGAATAAAAGCAGAGGTCTTGTAGTATGGTGTTTCCAACTCCCAGCCCACAGAAGCTGGCCTAGGAGAATACAGGATCAGTTGCATAAAAAGCCATGGAGAGATTGAGGAGAATTAACAGGGTCACAGTCCTCCATCCCTTTCTTCAGAAAGGTCATCAGTTTGAGAGACCAAATCTATTTAATTCTGAACCTGGGTCTGAGTCCAGATTGAAATGTGTCTGGACAGCTTCATTCAGATGCTGTTGGAGCTCACCATGCAAAAGGGGGCATTTTTGTCCAGGCATTATTCAATACCTCTGTGTCGAGAAGGTCTTCTGGAGATGGGGCCTTACCACTGCCTCCTTCAGGAAGCTCAGAAGCAATAAGGACTTTGATTTTGTGTGCATTTTCTCATTATTCCTATTCTTTTTTAATATGAGAAAAATGGCTTATAGGGAGACTTAATAATATTTTTTGCAAGCTGAGCTAGATGAATCAAATTCATTTGTGTTTTAAATAAATAACATTAGCCTCTGTAGGACCAAACCTGAAAATTAGTTGCTTTTTTAATGATTTCATATTGAAATCAATGAATACAGTGGTACCTCAGGTTACATACGCTTCAGGTTACAGACTCCGCTAACCCAGAAATAGTGCTTCAGGTTAAGAGCTTTGCTTCAGGATGAGAACAGAAATTGTGCTCCAGCAGCGTGGCGGCAGCAGGAGGCTCTATTAGCTAAAGTGGTGCTTCAGGTTAAGAACAGTTTCAGGTTAAGTACGGACCTTTGGAATGAATTAAGTACTTAACCCGAGGTACCACTGTATACTGAAGAAGATGCAAGATAGCAGAAATGTGCTGAAGGTTGGATATGTGAAAGCACTTTTTAAAAAAAATTAGGATGGATTTTTAAAACAAGCTTCCAATTACAGGTATGAGGTACTGCAGTTCGTAAAAGTTTTTTAAAAGCCCTGATGAACTTATTATTTTATTTATTTGCTACACTTTGCTACACTTTTTACTGCCTAATAACCAAAGTTCTATGAGTGAATTACAATAAAATTTATTACCATGTAGATTTCTAATTTGGATACTAAATACGTTTTAGGATAGTATTGTGTTTCATTTAGAAAGTACTGTAGCATAAATAGCAATAAAGATAATTCCTTTTAAATGATTTCTTTTTTCATCAGGGACAATGGTTTGAAGGCTATTGAAAATTTAATGCAGAAGAAAGGCAAGTTTGACTACATCTTGCTAGAGACAACTGGATTGGCAGATCCAGGTAAATATAATTTGGGGAAGGGGATGGATTAAGAGTGCCCCATTGAATTCAGTAGGATGTGGTTAGGATTGTGTTGTGAGAATCTGGGTTGAAATTTTTCTTTATGGGATGAGCAGAAATGCATTGGGTATTCCGTTGTGCCTCTGTCAGGATGTAGATGTAGCTTAGATACAAAAGAAAAAGAATGGAATTGTCAGGAAACAAGAGTAGCCGAAGGTGATTCCACAACAACCATCCTTTCTGTCAATAGTGCATCTTATAACCCCTACAATTCAAGAACCTGATGGATCAGACCAAAGACCCATTTAGTCCAGCATCCTGTTCTCACACTAGCCAACCACAAACAGAGAGAGCATTTTTTGAAACCTAAAGAGCAACATCAATGCAAAATCTTGCTCCTCTCAAACCTCTAGTCACACACACATTTATGGCATCCAGGAGTGGCTTGTCAGTGAGGCGAGGTGAAGCCATTTGCCTTGGGTGGCAGATCTGCCCCCCAGCCCTGCTGCCAGCCCTGCCACTCCTTGGCTCACACTGCTGCCACAGTGCTGTTGCCTTCACTGCTGCGTCCTTGCTGCTGCATTGGCAGTAGCGTGGGGGGCAGGTGAGGGGACACTTGTGTGGCGACTTTGGGGGTGGCTTTGAGCATTTTGCTTACTGTGACAAAACATCTCAGACCAGCCCACAACAGCTATAATTATATTTGGTCTAAAAGCTAATCTGAGAAAGCCAGGATAAAAAAAAAATTGCTTAAGAATTCATATTTAGGATTTGGCTGTTTTCCATGGAAAAAGCTGGGTGTCTAGACCTATTACAAGATACATAATCTAGATGTAATCTTTCTTATTTAATTCTAGCCCCTTGGGGGCTTCAGTGAAATCAAATGTACTCTAGTATAATATGCTTTTTAAACCCTTCTTGAAGTTGCATATTTGTTGCATACTAGTCCAGCAGTACATAGTCCTTGCAAAAAATAAAGCCTAAACAGTCATTGTGATGAATAAAAGCTGTGTAAATATTTTATGGGCCATTTTAATTAAACCTCTGAGCTGTTGGCTAGGAGGGTGAATAAAATTCCTTTTTGCAATTCAATTGTTTCATGTTAAGGAGACTGACACTCTACATTTCAAAGCAAAATAATTGTAATGGTAAAATAATTTTCATCAAAAGAAATAACATTGATTCTGTTTCTGTTATACACAAATCCTATTTCAGTTTAGTTGAAAAACTATTAAGGCATTTGAGAAAGAAATCAATAGATTCTGTGGCCCTTGCTGTATATTGCATGAGTAATCACTGTAAGCAGCTGACAGGTATTTTAGTCGTGACACCCATGATGCTTGGGAGACCACATCTTGTCACTTTGGGTGGACAGCAGTCTTCAGCTGTTATTGTTTATGCCTGTGTGTTTCGTTTTTTAAGACAGCCCTGGAATCAATTATATTTGTGAGCTTTTGAAAAAAAAAAATACTTTCATTGCTGTCCATTTCTTGCATCCTTCATGTTGTGACATAAGTGCTTGTTGAACGTCAATACAAATTTTGATTTCTTATTTTTCAAAATATAGCATCCTGCAGAAGTTTTGTTATTTCTTTACTGTTCAGTAATAAATGTTCATGTATTCACACTTTTCCACAAAGGAAAGAAAGAATTTTACAGATTCTTACTAAATAATTTTCAGGCTGTTCTTTATTAAAAATGGGTATCCCTTAACTCCAGGGAATCCAATATGTTTTAAAACTTTACAGGTGTGATGATCTGGACTACAATCCTAACTTCACTTACCCAAGAGTAAGCTCCATTGAATTCAGTGGGGTTTACTTCAGAGTAGACATGGTTAGGATTGCAGCTGTGGTTCTTTCTGTAGGTTGGAGTTGCTCCCATAAAATCGTATTGGTGAGAAGAATTTAATTCTGTATATAATAGTCAACTCCAACCATGGGTAAGAGTAGTGTGTGATTTCAGACCTAGTAATTGCATTCTTCAGTTCATAATTTCTAAACACTTTTGTTCCATAATAGTGTTACATGCCTGGTTGAAAGTATGTATCATTGATATCTATAGCCATAACTTCTAAGAGACAATTGTCCTGAACATTGTTTTAAATTTAGGGGAAAGAGCACTCCCATGCATACAGATGGCAGCTACAAGTCAGAAATGACAATTGTAATATCTAAGCCATGGTGTGTTTATCAGTGCACAATTTGAAGGTAGGCTGGCTAAAAATGTTGCCTTCTTAACAATGGTGCTATTTTAAGTGCAAAAAAACTGCCCAAGATACTGGCCAGAGGTTTTCAGTACTGGTAATGTAGATCAAATATATGTTTCTATGTGCCTTTGAATAATTTAGGGCAAGTAAAATCTGATTGGCCTAAATATAGCCACTGGGTTGCCCCCCCCCCAACTTTCTGATTTTCTTTAGCCTTTAAGAATTGCAGAAAAGTAACAGTTTTTCAACCAGTTTTTAAAAACCTGCCTTTTGTGATGCATATATATTCTGAGCTATGTATTGATAGGTGCTGTTGCCTCCATGTTTTGGGTTGATGCTGAATTAGGAAGTGACATTTATCTTGATGGTAAGAAATTAAATCCAAGTTACTCTATTGTTTTTCTAGTGCATGTTTGGGAAACTTTGTTCCCACAGGGGCCACATTCTTTGGGGGGAGGATACATCCCTGCAGTGTGTTGGCACAGAGCAGACAGTGGGTGGGGGCACAGTTGTAGTTTCTTATACATGCAGACACACTCTTCTCACCCCTCACATATCCATTCACCATACTTCCCCCCCTTCCCCTCTCTCTTCCCTCCCCAACTTACATTGGTGTCAAAGGTCTCTCCCTCTTCCCAAGCCTCTTTAATCTAGTGCAGGGGCCAGCAAACTTTTTCAGCAGGGGGCCGGTCCACTGTCCCTCAGACCTTGTGGGGGTCTGGATTATATTTTGAAACAAAGAAGAAGAGTGAAATCCTATGCCCCACAAATAACCCAGAGTTGCATTTTAAATAAAAGCACACATTCTACTCATGTAAAAACACGCGGATTCCCAGACCGCCTGCTGGCTGGATTTAGAAGGCGATTGGGCCGGCCCCGGCCCCTGGGCCTTAGTTTGCCTACCCATGATCTAGTGTCTGTGCATTATGAGTTCAAGATAGCAATGTGCATAATGTGTGCTAATGATTTTAGACGGTATGCGTGAAGGTGGGTAAAATGGCTAGGTTCTATAGTTTAGAGCATGGATAGGGAGCCTCTTTGTTGAGGGTCACATTGTCTTATGGTTAGTTTTGTCAGGGCTGCCTTCTAGCAGTGGGCAGGACCAGAACCAAACGTGGGCGGGGTCATCCCATTTCTCTCTTCTCTTCCTCCCCTTCCAACAGGCTGATAGATGAGGGACACTACATTCTTGCTGGAGGTCTGAACTAGACACTTGCCAAGGATTTTTATTCCCTTTTCCTTCCTTTGCTCCATTCACTTTGATTCCCCAATCCTGTTTCCCACTCCCTTTTCCTTCTCTTCTTTTAGACTCCTTATCACCTACATAAAACTAGGCCAAAGCCAAGCCATATGTTGCTGACCACTGGTTTAGAGATCTCTGATGGTTTTTCCTATCTCTATGTAGAAAAGCTGAAGAGCAACTTTGACTTCACTTTGCTGTTTGTGCTTCTCAAGTTCAAATTCCTATCTACAAACTTCTTTTTGCAGGTATCATATCTGTTGTTGATGCAAAGTATGGACTACAGGTAAAGTAGTAAGACTGCAATCATTACTCAGTAAAGTACTTGTTCCTTGCATCTTTTTTCTAGACTACACAAAAATAAAAACAGATTTTATTCTTATCCTAGTGAGCAAAGAAAGACTCCAAAAAGGCTTTGAAACAATTAATGCATAATATTCAGTAGATTTGGTGGATAGAGTGCCTGAAGAACTATGGATGGAGGCTCACAACATTATACAGGAAGCAGCAACGAAAACCATCCCAATGAAAAGGAAATGCAAGAAAGCAAAGTGGCTGTCCAACGAGGCCTTACAAATAGCGGGGGAGAGAAGGCAAGCAAAATGCGAGGGTGATAGTGAAAGATACAGGAAATTGAATGCAGATTTCCAAAAAATAGCAAGGAGAGACAAGAAGGCCTTCTTAAATGAGCAATGCAAAGAAATAGGGGAAAACAACAGAATGGGAAGAACCAGAGATCTGTTCAAGGAAATAGGAGATATGAAAGGAACTTTTGTACAAAGATTACCATAATAAAGGACAAAAGTGATAAGGACCTAACAGAAGCAGAAGACAGCAAGAAGAGGTGGCAAGAATACACAGAGGAATTATACCAGAAAGATATGGATGGCTCGTACACCCCAGGTAGTGTGGTTGCTGACCTTGAGCCAGACATCCTGGAGAGTGAAGTCAAATGGGACTTAGAAAGCACTGCAAATAATAAGATCAGTGGAAGTGATGGTATTCCAGCTGAACTATTTAAATTTTTAAAAGATGATGCTGTTGAGGTGCTACACTCAATATGCCAGCAAGTTTGGAAAACTGAGCAGTGGCCAGAGGATTGGAGACGATCAGTCTACATCCCAATCCCAAAGAAGGGCAGTGCCAAAGAATGCTCCAACTACCGCACAATTGCACTCATTTCACACGCTAGCAAGGTTATGCTTAAAATTCTACAAGGTAGGCTCAAGCAGTATGTGGACCGAGAACTTCCAGAAGTGCAAGCTGGATTTAGAAGAGGCAGAGGAACCAAAGACCAAATTGCAAACATGCGCTGGATTATGGAGAAAGCTAGAGAGTTCCAGAAAGACATCTACTTCTGCTTCATTGACTATGCAAAAGATTTTGACTGTGTCGACCACAGCAAACTATGGCAAGTTCTTAAAGAAATGGGAGTGCCTGATCACCTCATCTATCTCCTGAGAGATCTGTATGTGGGACAAGAAGCTACAGTTAGAACTGGATATGGAACAACTGATTGGTTCAAAATTGGGAAAGAAGTATGACAAGGCTGTATATTGTCTCCCTGCTCTACTTATATGCAGAATTCATCATACAAAAGGCTGGGCTAGATGAATCCCAAACCGGAATTAAGATTGCCGGAAGAAATATCAGATACGCAGATGACACAACCTTGATGGCAGAAAGTGAGGAGGAATTAAATAATCTTTTAATGAGGGTGAAAGAGGAGAGTGCACAATATGGTCTGAAGCTCAACATCAAAAAAACGAAGATCATGGCCACTGGTCCCATCACCTCCTGGCAAATAGAAGGGGAAGAAATGGAGGCAGTGAGAGATTTTACTTTCTTGGACTCCATGATCACTGCAGATGGTGACAGGAGCCACAAAATTAAAAGACGCCTGCTTCTTGGGAGAAAAGCAATGACAAACCTAGACAGCACCTTAAAAAGCAGAAACATCACCTTGCCAACAAAGGTCCGTATAGTTAAAGCTATGGTTTTCCCAGTAGTGATGTATGGAAGTGAGAGCTGGACCATCAAGAAGGCTGATCGCCGAAGAATTGATGCTTTTGAATTCTGGTGCTGGAGGAGACTCTTGAGAGTCCCATGGACTGCAAAAAGATCAAACCTCTCCATTCTGAAGGAAATCAGCCCTGAGTGCTCACTGGAAGGACAGATCGTGAAGCTGAGACTCATAGAATCATAGAGTCGGAAGAGACCACAAGGGCCATTGAGTCCAACCCCCTGCCAAGCAGGAAACACCATCAGAGCACTCCTGACATATGGTTGTCAAGCCTCTGCTTAAAGACCTCCAAAGAAGGAGACTCCACCACACTCCTTGGCAGCAAATTCCACTGTCAAACAGCTCTTACTTCCTAATGTTTAGGTGGAATCTTCTTTCTTGTAGTTTGGATCCATTGCTCCGTGTCCGCTTCTCTGGAGCAGCAGAAAACAACCTTTCTCCCTCCTCTATGTGACATCCTTTTATATATTTGAACATGGCTATCATATCACCCCTTAACCTCCACTTCTCCAGACTAAACATGCCCAGCTCCCTTAGCCGTTCCTCATAAGGCATCGTTTCCAGGCCTTTGACCATTTTGGTTGCCGTCCTCTGGACCCGTTCTAGTTTGTCAGTGTCCTTCTTGAACTGTGGTGCCCAGAACTGGACACAGTACTCCAGGTGAGGTCTGACCAGAGCAGAATACAGTGGCACTATTACTTCCCTTGATCTAGATGCTATACTCTTATTGATGAGGTCCAGAATTGCATTGGCTTTTTTAGCTGCCGCGTCACACTGTTGGCTCATGTCAAGTTTGTGGTCAACCAAGACTCCTAGATCCTTTTCACATGTACTGCTCTCAAGCCAGGTGTCACCCATCTTGTATTTGTGCCTCTCATTTTTTTGCCCAAGTGCAATACTTTACATTTCTCCCTGTTAAAATTCATCTTGTTTGTTTTGGCCCAGTTCTCTAATCTGTCAAGGTCGTTTTGAAGTGTGATCCTGTCCTCTGGGGTGTTAGCCACCCCTCCCAGTTTGGTGTCATCTGCAAATTTGATCAGGATGCCCTTGAGTCCATCATCCCAAGTCGTTGATAAAGATGTTGAATAAGACCGGGCCCAAGACAGAACCCTGTGGCACCCCACTAGTCACTCTTCTCCAGGATGAAGAGGAACCATTGATGAGCACCCTTTGGGTTCGGTCAGTCAGCCAGTTACAAATCCACTGAGTGGTAGCATAGTCAAGACCGCATTTTACCAGCTTCTTTACAAGAATATCATGGGGCACCTTGTCAAATGCCTTGCTGAAATCAAGGTAGGCTACATCCACTGCGTTCCCTTCATCTACCAGGCTTGTAATTCTGTCAAAAAACGGGATCAGGTTAGTCTGACATGACTTATTTTTCAGAAATCCATGCTGACTATTGGTGATCACAGCATTCCTTTCTAGGGGCTCACAGACTGTTTGCTTAATGATCTGCTCCAGAATCTTCCCTGGTATTGATGTCAGACTGACTGGGCGGTAATTATTTGGGTCCTCTCTTTTCCCTTTTTGAAAATAGGGACAACATTTTCAAATCCTCTGAGTGACCCCACTGTTTCTTTGGTCTTCCTTTTGCTACGAACATACCCATAAAAGCCTTTTTTGTTGCTTTTAACCTCTCTAGCAAGCCTGAGTTCATTCTGTGCTTTAGCTTTTCTGACTTTGTGTCTACACGTGCTGGCTATTTGTTTGAATTCCTCTTTGGTGGTTTCCCCCTTTTCCATTTTTGTACACATCCTTTTTAATCTTAACTCAGTTAAAAGTTCTTTAGATAGCCACCCTGGCTTCTTTAGGCACCTTCCATGTTTCCGTCTCATTGGTATTGCCTGAAGTTGTGCTTTTACTATCTCCCTCTTAACAAACTCCCAGCCATCATGAACTCCCTTTCCTTTTAGTATTACTGTCCATGGGATCTCACCCAGCACTTCCCTAAGTTTTATGAAGTCGGCTTTCTTAAAGTCAAGAAATTGAGTCCTAGTATGCTTGGCTGCTCCTTTCCGCTGTATAGTAAACTTCAGAAGAGCATGATCACTCGCGCCTAATGATCCTTCCACTTCTACCCCACTAACCAGGTCATCAACATTGGTTAGGACCAGATCTAAAATGGCTGTTCCTCTTGTTGCTTCTCCCACTTTCTGGACAATGAAGTTGTCTGCAAGGCCAGTGAGGAATCTGTTTGACCTTATGCTCTTGGCTGAGTTTGACATCCAACAAATATCCGGGTAATTGAAGTCCCCCATTACTACTATCTCCTTTCCTTTTGCATGCTTGGCCATCTGTTCCAGGAAGGCATCATCTGTGTCCTCCGTTTGGCTCGGGGATCTATAGTAAACTCCCACAATGAGGTCACTGTTATTCTTCTCTCCCTTGATTTTGACCCAAATGCTCTCACTTTGGCTTTGAAGTTCTAAATCTTGGATCTCTTCACAGGTATACATATCCCTGACATATAACACCACTCCTCCTCCTTTCTTGTCTGGTCTGTTTCTCTGAAATAGATTGTATCCCTCCATTATTACATTCCAATCGTGGGACTTATCCCACCAGGTTTCAGTGATGCCTATTATGTCATATTTAGTTTGCTGTACCAAGAGCTCAAGCTCATCTTGTTTATTTGCCATGCTTTGCGCATTAGTGTACAGACACTGAAGTCCATTAATCATTCCCCCCGTGACTCTTATTTAAGGATTTTTTCCTCCCACCACTAGGTCTGCATGCTGTTTGCTCCATTTGGTCTATGACATTTGGATGATCATCTTCATCATAGACTCCTACCTTCAGGAGCACTGTCTCCCTCCCCCACATTAGTCAGTTTAAAGCCCTCCTGATGAGGTTTCTGAGATTTTTGGCAAAAACATTTCTCCCAACCGTTGTGAGTTGCAGCCCATCGCTTGCCAGAAGTCCATCTTCAAGAAACTGCAGTCCATGATCTAAGAATCCAAACCGTTCCTGTTTACACCATTTGCGAAGCCAGCTGTTCACTTCCACTATTTTTCCCTCTCTTCAATACTTTGGCCACCTCATGAGAAGAGAAGACTCCCTGGAAAAGACCCTGATGTTGGGAAAGATGGAGGGCACAAGGAGAAGGGGATGACAGAGGACGAGATGGTTGGATAGTGTTCTCGAAGCTACCAGCATGAGTTTGACCAAACTGCGGGAGGCTGTGGAAGACAGGAGTGCCTGGCATGCTCTGGTCCACGGGGTCACGAAGAGTCGGACACGACTAAACAACAACAACAACAACAACAACACATTCAGTAGCTTTGGAATTCAATGCACCATCTTGCATTCTTAAATCAATAAACAGATACAAAGCTTGACATGCTGTCAGTGTGATAGCAGCTTTTAAATTTTGTCAGTTATATGCTAAATAAATAACTTTTGCTTTGTGTAGAAACTTTGTTCCCCTGTCCAATTCCTCCAGTTTCAAAGCTTGACGTCCACCTTGGCTTGTGATTTAAAGAATTCTGGAGGCAATACAACAATGACAATAGGATAATAGGCAGCAATTTAGAGGTGTCATGCTTCATGGATCTAGCCTAGTCCATGTAAAGCTGAGAAATTGTACCCTGTGGCTTGCAAGCCAAATTGAAATGGATGTGGTAATTGATATCATTGGCTGTCACTCTAATGGGATTGTCACCCAGCAATCTGAAATATTCATGTTTTAATCAAAAGGCAAACGATTGGACAACTTGCAGTGACAGGTCACAACTCTGAGGACCTAAAGCGATGCTATTAACACTCTTCTTTGCAAATCTACAAAGCCTGACAGTATTTCATGCAGAAGAATAAATGAATGTTGGAGTTACAGAGAAAAGGTCAAAAGAGAGGTCTTGTTCTCGTCATCCTGTTATTGCACAAACTCTTCAAACCACTTAGTTAGATAACAGTTTTGACTGGAGATGTCAGGAAAATAGACATTGTACAATGAAATCGTTTTGAGGATTCAGTAGCATTTAAAGTAGCAGCAACCTCTACTAGTTAAAAGCAGTTTGCTCTTTTTTCCCCATTCAGGGGCTGCTGAAAAAATTGCCTACATTAGAAAAATATTTATATTGAATTTCCTTATTGAAACATTGCTGTTTGTAAATAAGTTACTCCTTACCTAAAGTTAGTGAAAAGTAAATACATTTATTCGGAGCTTGTAGATGGAACGCACTTGTTACAGTTTGGTTGCCCATGATGTACGTTAGTATAACTCTCACTGCTATGTAAAGGTTGAAGCATATGCATAAATCTAAAATTATTTCAATTATGGTCCTGGAACATGGATAATTATGTAGATGAATAAGTTAACTGTGCAGTCCTATGCGTATTTACATGGGGGAAGCTCTCCCTGAACTTAATAGAAATTACTTTTAAACAGGCATGAACATAATGACGTAGTATGTACAGTATAGAATCATAGAATTGTAGAGTTGAAAGGGACCCCAAGGGTCATCTAGTCCCAGTACCGTACACTGTTGAATTAATAAATTTATTACTTCTGTGGATGCACAAACCCATGGATTTTGTCTTCTGTGCAAAAACCATCTGTAAACATTTCGAAGTCAGAAGTATTGAGACAGATCCAAAAGTCTTTGAATTATGACAGCTGGACAACATGAGCCTCAAAGCATTTCACCTTGCATACTGTCTCTTAAGCTAGTTCACATCCTTTGAAGCACATGGTCCTTAAGACTTTGTATGTGTAAATTCATGGTTGCAAGTAACCCAAGCTTTCCTTCTAAATCAGTTATTTTTGTCTGAACAGAAGAGCTAAATGATGCCCTCAATAGTTGCTGCATAAAGTGCCTTCAGTATCTGTCAGCAATTCAGTTAATAATAAAATCAATTTTCCTATTGTAACTGTCTTTTTTTAAAATCTTTGTTTAGCATCTCTTAGAAGAAAAACCCAGTGGCCTTATCAATGAAGCAGCTAGGTATTACTACAACAACCATTTTCTATGTGTGTGAATCCTGAACTGTTTCTTGGGAAGCATAGTATTGTAAGGCAGCCTTGACCAAGGACATTATTAATTTTGAGTTTTAGTTTCAGACCTGACTCGCTTGTTCTAGCTGTTTTCATTTTGTGGATTTATCCTGTTGTACCAGTTTCTTTGTGGTAGTTTTATTTTGTTAAATTTCATTTCCAGTATTCATTTTTTCTGATTTGTACTCCAATTTAATGTCAAGTTGCCAGCAGCATTTCACTGTATCTTTTTTTAAAATGATGGATGCTAGCAATTTAGACAAATTGCTCTTAAGGACATGAATAAGAGAAAAATTGCATAGGACAGTGGCTAAAAGTGTGAACGGGGATATCCCTGATTCAAATCTCACTTTAGTCATGAACTCCATAAATACTTCTGACACCTTCTCTCAACTTCAGCCCACCCCCATCTACAGTCTACTGAGCTTGGTAAAGTTTACTTGGGCAATTTATGTGAAGGGTTTTGCAGCATCATAACACAACCCTAGTCTTGATATAACATATTGGCCCGAATATAAGCTGCACCCAAATATAAGCCGCAGCTTTAAAATTGGAGGGGGTGGGAGAAACCCCCCTCTCGAATATAAGCTGTTCCATTCCTCGCTGCTCCTGGCTGCATACTTGGGGGGGGGCTGCGCTGCGTTGCCAGTGGCCTTTCCCCTTCCTGGCTCTCTCCCTTCCCTGCCTTGGGGGAGAGGATGTGGAACTATGTGCTGCTTCGCCACGCTCCTGGCCCTGTTTGCCCTGCACTCCAGGCTGCGAATATAAGCCACACATTTAACTTTTTATGGTTGGAATTTGGGGGGAAAGTGCAGCTTATATTTAGGCCAATACGGTATAAATGGAATTTCTGTTAACAGTGGCAAAAAGATCAATCCTGTATTGATAGACAATGAAGAGTTCGCTCCTGCACCTCCTATTCATGAGTTCACTCTTTCTTGTGTAGACAGATTGCATTAGCAGATCTTATAATCCTCAATAAAACTGATTTGGTTTCTCAAGAAGCACTGATGAAACTGAGAACAGCTGTCAGGTAAGCAAGAATAAATTATAGGTGCTGGTGAATTTTTCTTCGACTCCTACCTGTTTCCTAGCTATGCCTGGTAGCAACTAGAATTGTAGATTGCATGATTACTATGACAGTATGGGTTAGGACTCAAGAGGAAAGTGTATGCTTTCTTTCTTGAGAGCAGTCAGCTGTATTTACTTGCTGCAAGCTTGATGTTTTGCTTGCATCAAGCAGACTAAAGTGTTAGTGTAGTAGCTGCATAATCCTTTCTTAATTCTGATGGGTTTTACATGGATCAGTGTCAGTCTTTCAAGAAGGAGAAATGATCAGTACTCAAGTTATTCTGAAATACAGGCATTTGTGGCCTTATAAAAAGAGGGGCAATGGCATGTTCTAACAGATTTGGACACAATTTAAGGAGTGTAAAATGTTGCGTGTAGTTGGGGGTGGAATAAAAAATGGTTTGTACCTATATTCTACATCCCTGACCAATAAATGAATCAAAAATAGGTATCCTTCAAAATTTGAACTTATCCAAATGTTTAGTGCAACCAAAAAGTATGCACAAAATGCATAAGTATGCACAACATACAAAACCACATTATATTAGGGAACATTACTTGCAGAAATGTCTCTGTGCAGAAGAATGCATACAAATTTTCATGCATACGTTTTAGGGGGGGGAATGTAACAGGAGTGAACTGAACTTACGGTTGGAAAAATGAGAAATGGATTGAAAACTAAATTGACAGATGTGTCCATGCTTACCCACAGTGCGCCATGATTCTGAAGTTTGACACCATTAGGCCGAAAATCCCTCTACCCCCAGTTTTTCCTTGACTTGCCCCAGATCCTCACAAACTCTGCATGGAGTTTGCAGGGTTTTGTTAGTGTCTTTACTTCTTGAGAACTTATGCTCCCAGCATTGAAGAGTATCAGATATAGGTAAAGATATATATGGCTGGGTACAAATGTTCTTGTCATAATCTAAATTTATGTTTCTTCTCTTTTTTCAATGATGTTAGGTCAATAAATGGAGTTGTCAAAATTTTAGAAACTAAGAGATCCAGGTAATGATAATGTAAATCAGAAATAGTTATTGCCACTTTTTCTTCCTCTTGTGATTGTTACATATTGATCTGAAATGTATATTTGATCAAGAAAGGCAACATATGGCCCATAGGCAGTACCCAGTTGGTTTTGGTATGGTTTCCTTCTCTGACTATTCCTGTTGCCTGGAAGCTGGAGACTGTGTGGAAGAGAAGATGATTATTTTGTTTGTTCCGCTTTACTAAGGACCATAGCAAGGCTGGTGTAGCCTTCCAAGAGCTTTTTGTAGGCTACCCCACATTACACTATTCAAAGTAAAGGCTTGCCTACTCAGATGTTCTGTTCCAACAGTGTCCAACTGGGTCATTTGTAAATACCGTGATCTCCATATTAATTTGAATTAAGTCCTATCTGCAAATTAGGAGTTGGTATCAGAAATTAAAAAGTCCTACTCTAAAAGCCCCTTGGTTAGCTAGCAGCTCAGAGTTCCATAGGGAATTCATAAATCATGATCCCAAGCCCTCCATTATAAGTATGCTTAAAGAATTACATCAAAGGAAAGTAGATACATTGAAAGAAATATGAAAAAATATTTTCCCCCTCCCCCAATAATTTAAGTGGCTGTTATGTAGCTGTTTCGCAGTGAAAGTCTTTGTAGCCTTGCTACTTTAGAGATTAGCTGTGGGAGGAGCTTATCAGAGCTTGCAGGGCAGCGGCGCACGCAGTTTGATCCATCTTTTAGATTTAGGGGAGCTAGTCTCAAATGTTTGTTGGGGGAGACCTAGGTTTTTTTGGGTGGGAGTTATTTGTCCTGCCTTCACGCTTTTTATGATGGAGGACCGCTGTAGCCACCCCCAACGACACGTTCTCAAGATGGAGGGGGAGGGAACAGCTGCAGTCGCCTGCAGTTCCTGCGCAATCTTTGCCATCTTGCCAAAGGTTGCAGGCAGCTTTACCTGCAGCAATTGCATGTTGATTGCCCTCTTAGAAGACAAAGTCCAGCAACTGGAGGAACGTGTAGCTACGCTCCAAAGAATTAGAGAGCTGGAGCTCTTCTTGGAAGCAACAGAGCACACCGTCTCCACCAAGGAGGAGACAGGGGATCCCCCTGAGAAGGAGGCTAGTTCACCAACACAGGAGCCAGATATATGGAGAAACGTGACTCAAAGAAGTAGGAGGCCCAGGGTTCGCTCTGATTGTTTAGAAATACACAATCGCTTTGAGGTCCTCTCCCCTAGCATGGAAGACGAAGAGCAGACTCCATTTGAGGATCTCTCCTCATTACAGTCGATCAGGTATATGAAGACGAGCAGCAAAGTCAGTCCTCAGGGAATGTGCAGGCGACCTTGGAACGGACAGCTCACGGAAGAACCCCGACCAAACCTAAGAGGAGGCGTGTAGTGGTGATAGGGGATTCCCTGCTGAGGGGAACAGAAGCAGTGATCTGTGGGCCTGACAAGATGTCTCGGGAAGTGTGCTGTCTCCCCGGGCTAAGATCCAAGATGTAACTGAACGACTGCAAGGAATCATAAAACCCACTGACAAATACCCCTTCCTCTTGGTTCATGTGGGAACCAATGACACTACAAGCAATAGCCTCCAGAAGATCAAAAGAGACTACGAGGCTCTGGGCAGGAAATTGAAGCAATTAAATGCACAAATTGTCATTTCATCTGTCCTCCCAGTTGAACGACGTGGCCCAGGGAGAGAGGGAAAAATAGTGGAAGTGAACAGCTGGCTTCGCAAATGGTGTAAACAGGAACGGTTTGGATTCTTAGATCACGGACTGCAGTTTCTTGAAGATGGACTTCTGGCAAGCGATGGGCTGCACCTCACAACGGTTGGGAGAAATGTTTTTGCCAAAAATCTCAGAAACCTCATCAGGAGGGCTTTAAACTGACTAATGTGGGGGAGGGAGACAGTGCTCCTGAAGGTAGGAGTCTATGATGAAGATGATCATCCAAATGTCATAGACCAAATGGAGCAAACAGCATGCAGACCTAGTGGTGGGAGGAAAAAATCCTTAAATAAGAGTCACGAGGGAATGATTAATGGACTTCAGTGTCTGTACACTAATGCGCAAAGCATGGCAAATAAACAAGATGAGCTTGAGCTCTTGGTACAGCAAACTAAATATGACATAATAGGCATCACTGAAACCTGGTGGGATAAGTCCCACGATTGGAATGTAATAATGGAGGGATACAATCTATTTCAGAGAAACAGACCAGACAAGAAAGGAGGAGGAGTGGTGTTATATGTCAGGGATATGTATACCTGTGAAGAGATCCAAGATTTAGAACTTCAAAGCCAAAGTGAGAGCATTTGGGTCAAAATCAAGGGAGAGAAGAATAACAGTGACCTCATTGTGGGAGTTTACTATAGATCCCCGAGCCAAACGGAGGACACAGATGATGCCTTCCTGGAACAGATGGCCAAGCATGCAAAAGGAAGGAGATAGTAGTAATGGGGGACTTCAATTACCCGGATATTTGTTGGATGTCAAACTCAGCCAAGAGCATAAGGTCAAACAGATTCCTCACTGGCCTTGCAGACAACTTCATTGTCCAGAAAGTGGGAGAAGCAACAAGAGGAACAGCCATTTTAGATCTGGTCCTAACCAATGTTGATGACCTGGTTAGTGGGGTAGAAGTGGAAGGATCATTAGGCGCGAGTGATCATGCTCTTCTGAAGTTTACTATACAGCGGAAAGGAGCAGCCAAGCATACTAGGACTCAATTTCTTGACTTTAAGAAAGCCGACTTCATAAAACTTAGGGAAGTGCTGGGTGAGATCCCATGGACAGTAATACTAAAAGGAAAGGGAGTTCATGATGGCTGGGAGTTTGTTAAGAGGGAGATAGTAAAAGCACAACTTCAGGCAATACCAATGAGACGGAAACATGGAAGGTGCCTAAAGAAGCCAGGGTGGCTATCTAAAGAACTTTTAACTGAGTTAAGATTAAAAAGGATGTGTACAAAAATGGAAAAGGGGGAAACCACCAAAGAGGAATTCAAACAAATAGCCAGCACGTGTAGACACAAAGTCAGAAAAGCTAAAGCACAGAATGAACTCAGGCTTGCTAGAGAGGTTAAAAGCAACAAAAAAGGCTTTTATGGGTATGTTCGTAGCAAAAGGAAGACCAAAGAAACAGTGGGGTCACTCAGAGGATTTGAAAATGTTGTCCCTATTTTCAAAAAGGGGAAAAGAGAGGACCCAAATAATTACCGCCCAGTCAGTCTGACATCAATACCAGGGAAGATTCTGGAGCAGATCCTTAAGCAAACAGTCTGTGAGCCCCTAGAAAGGAATGCTGTGATCACTAATAGTCAGCATGGATTTCTGAAAAATAAGTCATGTCAGACTAACCTGATCTCGTTTTTTGACAGAATTACAAGCCTGGTAGATGAAGGGAACGCAGTGGATGTAGCCTACCTTGATTTCAGCAAGGCATTTGACAAGGTGCCCCATGATATTCTTGTAAAGAAGCTGGTAAAATGCGGTCTTGACTATGCTACCACTCAGTGGATTTGTAACTGGCTGACTGACCGAACCCAAAGGGTGCTCATCAATGGTTCCTCTTCATCCTGGAGAAGAGTGACTAGTGGGGTGCCACAGGGTTCTGTCTTGGGCCCAGTCTTATTCAACATCTTTATCAACGACTTGGATGATGGACTCAAGGGCATCCTGATCAAATTTGCAGATGACACCAAACTGGGAGGGGTGGCTAACACCCCAGAGGACAGGATCACACTTCAAAACGACCTTGACAGATTAGAGAACTGGGCCAAAACAAACAAGATGAATTTTAACAGGGAGAAATGTAAAGTATTGCACTTGGGCAAAAAAATGAGAGGCACAAATACAAGATGGGTGACACCTGGCTTGAGAGCAGTACATGTGAAAAGGATCTAGGAGTCTTGGTTGACCACAAACTTGACATGAGCCAACAGTGTGACGCGGCAGCTAAAAAAGCCAATGCAATTCTGGGCCGCATCAATAGGAGTATAGCATCTAGATCAAGGGAAGTAACAGTGCCACTGTATTCTGCTCTGGTCAGACCTCACCTGGAGTACTGTGTCCAGTTCTGGGCACCACAGTTCAAGAAGGACACTGACAAACTAGAACGGGTCCAGAGGAGGGCAACCAAAATGGTCAAAGGCCTGGAAACGATGCCTTATGAGGAACGGCTAAGGGAGCTGGGCATGTTTAGCCTGGAGAAGAGGAGGTTAAGGGGTGATATGATAGCCATGTTCAAATATATAAAAGGATGTCCCATAGAGGAGGGAGAAAGGTTGTTTTCTGCTGCTCCAGAGAAGCGGACACGGAGCAATGGATCGAAACTACAAGAAAGAAGATTCCACCTAAACATTAGGAAGAACTTCCTGACAGTAAGAGCTGTTTGACAGTGGAATTTGCTGCCAAGGAGTGTGGTGGAGTCTCCTTCTTTGGAGGTCTTTAAGCAGAGGCTTGACAACCATATGTCAGGAGTGCTCTGATGGTGTTTCCTGCTTGGCAGGGGGTTGGACTCGATGGCCCTTGTGGTCTCTTCCAACTCTATGATTCTATGATTCTACTTTGGATTGAAAATGTCGTCCCCACCCAAAAAGGGGCAGAGGAAAACTAATGAGGAAACCTATTGAAAGTTTACATAAACTTCCTTGTTATAATCCAATGACTGAATATTTCCTGATTTTTTGTTATAATGTCAGATTTTAAAACCTAATACTAGTAGGTAAAGGAATAAAAAGCATGTAGTCCAGTAAAGATAAGGTTAAAGTTTCAAATAAATTATTTTTTTGAGAGAAGAACATTCAGACCAACATAATCAGCATCCTAAATGTTGTAAAGGGTAGCTCAATGCAAAACAAGCTTAAAATTAGCAATCACTAGATACTGTCATATATATGTTTATACAGCCTTAAATAGTTTGTATTTTGTAAATTAGTTTTTCAAACATTCAGTAGTGTAATTTGTGTCTCATTATTATCAGTGCAACAGTCATGGGGGGAGTAAGCTTCTAAAGCTAGAAATGCTTTTAAAGCTAGTAAATTTTCTTCGTTGTATCATATTAACTATCCTATTCATTCTAGGAAATATTTTCCTAAGCACCATAAGCAAGCATAATGGACTTTATAGCAGTGCAGGCCTCTTCCTTGTATGAATCGCACAGTATAAAGTGGAGCGAGATAATATATTTTATATATTTTCTGAGGTAGGCAATTGTGTGGGCATCAAAGGTCATGTGTGACAATCCTATATTTTACCTGACAGCAACACCAAAATACAGTGCAACAAACATTTTTGCTGGTGTATATACATGAGTTCACAAGCAATATTTATATATTGCAAGGTAATCAGCTGAATACTGCATTTCCAGACATTTAATCCTGTTAACAGAACCATTGATATAACTTATTAGGAATTCTGCCTTCAATCTGCTCCATTCTGGAGGCTTTGCCCTGTGCTGAACAGTTGCTCTATGAAGATTCTTCTCTGTAGTGACGGCCATGTTAATTTATATGGATTACCGTCCTTGCAATTCTTTTGTTCAGGTAGGAAGGAGGAAAGTGTTAAAATAGCTTCAAAAACTTTTAAAAATTCTATTAAAGGGGACTCGAAATATAAAGTACTATAGCTCACCTTTTTTAATGCACAGTTATTCTGTGGGTATATTACCTTGCCAATATTTTACATTTTCTGTTGATCAGAGCTATGCTTCCCACAGGACACTGTATAAACAGTATTGTTAATATGGCCAATGTATATGACACTTTTCAAAAGAGTTCAGCTTCCAGAACCAGCAGAAGTTGGTAGGAGGTGCTGAGCAATTCTTAAGATCTGATAATTTCATTGTGTGTCCAAAGCAGAATATTTTCTAAGAGTGATATGTAATTGCTTGTTGAATATATTTTTTAAAAACTGAGAAAGAAATATGATTTTTTGTTGTATATTTTAAAACTAAATAACAAACTTAAAGATTTTTTTTCTAGTTCTTAAACTATATTTAAACTGCTTCGTAGGAACAAGCCAGGTTAAAATCAAAGTTTAAGATCCTGGCTTGTTCTCAACCCAGCATTAAAACTGCAGTTCCCCAGGTTTTGATGTGACAGGGTACTGTGGCTAGTTTAAAACTAAAAACTTCTCTTTTACAAAAGCTCAAAAGAGGAGGAGCGGGAGCATGCAAGTCCAAGGCTCACAGCAGCACATTTCCTGAACTCATACAGTCCAGGAAACTGTATTTTCCTACCACAGGTGCCAACTTGAATAAAATATTGAGGGAGCCCAGGTAAGCCCTGCCCTATATAATCAGTTACAAGTTGCAGTGCGCACACACCATTTGAATGGCAATGCCCATTAACTGGGGGGCTGGACCCCTCAAATATTTTAGGGTGGGCTCTGAAGGGACCTTGGCCCCTAGGAGTTGGTGTCTGTGTTTCCTCCTATGTCTGAACTGAGCCTTAGGAACTCAAAATATCCTTACTACTTGTAACCGTGATATGTTTTTTTCAGCCCCTACATTCCATTCATGCTTCCTTTCTTCTATTGAATACAGATTTTGGAGCACTGCAGAGAGCAGATAGTTCAAACACAGCTGGCCATAAATGAAAGAGAATATCTTTTGCTTATCTGTGCATTACAGTGATTTCTCTTAGAAAAAGGTCTTGCTTTAAATTAAAAAGAAGTGGTCACTCCATAGGACTCCTTTCTCTGTTTTGCAGTTGTCTTTTTAATATGACAGCCTCTCCCCACTAGATCCCAGACATTTATTGAGAGTCCCTTGACCATCAAGAGAAGCTTTTAAGGGGCTGCCGGGGGGGGGGGGGAGAAGGAAAGTGGGAAAGCCTTTTTATAAAAGAGGCCTTCTGCTCATCCATAGGCTGCATGCAACCCATAAAACACTTCAGTAGGGGAAAAGTAAATGTATTTGTTTTTTTCTTAGAGTTGACATCTCTGATGTCTTAGATCTTCATGCTTTTGATAGTTTGTCAGGAAAAAGGTAAGATTTTATTTTACACTGTTACTTGATCAGCAGATTGCTAGCTTTTACATAAGAATTATGTATAGTTATGATTTAGAATTCAACTTGTGGCACAGTCTCAGGTACACACCCAGGTTCAGAACTGCCATAATTAGTCAGTTATATCCAACTAATTGAACCTAAATTAGTCATGTCTAGTAACTCCAGTGAGTTGACTCTGAGTACAGCTAGCATTAGATACAACCCATGGTCTTTAGGTATTATTATTATTAATTGAATTTATATACCACTCTATACCCAGAGGTACCCAAGTTAGAGAAGGAGTGAGCTGAAAATGTAGTTAATTACTTAATACTGTACTGTAAACAGAAATTCACCAAAGATTAGTCAACTGCAAATATTACATTAAAATTAGTTCAGTTCAGTTCAGTTCCAGCCAAAGGCCATTATTAACAATAGTATTAATAAAAGAATACAGAAAATACATCCATAATACAAACAAAACAAAAAAACTTTACCAAGTTCCTGACCATTAAAACACAGTTTCCCTTGTACATCTCAGACAGCATCAATTCTAATATTATTTTGCCTTTAAAAAATCCAATTTCCCAACATCTTTTTTGGATGCTTTCTAGTCAGTTATGGTATATTAAAGGGACCCCTGACGATTAGGTCCAGTCGTGACCGACTCTGGGGTTGCGGCACTCATCTCGCTTTATTGGACGAGGGAGGCGGTGTACAGCTTCCGGGTCATGTGGCCAGCATGACTAAGCTGCTTCTGGCGAACCAGAGCAGCGCACAGAAACACTGTTTACCTTCCCGCTGGAGTGGTACTTATTTATCTACTTGCACTTTGATGTGCTTTCGAACTGCTAGGTTGGCAGGAGCCGGGACTGAGCAATGGGAGCTCACCCCGTCGTGGGGATCCGAACCGCCGACCTTTTGATCAGCAAGTCCTAGGCTCTGTGGTTTAACCCACAGCGCCACCCGCGTCCCATATGGTATATTAGAGGAGAGCATTTGCTTTTCTATAATTACCACTAGGCCTGGGCTTATCCTGATTGTTTGTTAATGGATAATCCCTTTGATTTCTGGAAAATGGATTGCTGGCAGGGTAGGAGTTTTGAGCCTCTAACCTGGGCATATTTCCCCCCAATACCTGCATTCAAGTCAATATAATGAATCTTCCCTTCTTGCTTATTGCAGCATATTTGAGTATTATTAGGATAGATGACAAAGGCAGAAATCTTGTAGCTTGAGAACTTCCTGCTCCTTTCTCTCAAACTGCCTTTTCCAGACTTCCCTATCTCTAGAAAGGAGGATGGATATCTAATGTCATTGGGGTGAGGTTATTTCTACAACCTTTTAATTCAAATAACAGCTGTCTCAGCAAACATATGAATTAGAAATCCAAACTTACCCATGCATCAGGATCCTGAAAGTTTAGTTTGATACTGGCTCTTCTGGTCACAATTAGACAGGTATTTACAATGTAAACCATTTCTGAAATCCAGGAAAGCCCCTATAATGGCTTGAATTCCTGCTTGCAGTTCAGATCCTGTTTTCACTATTCTGCTGGGTTTCTTCATTGGCCATTCATGAATAGAACATCTGGGGACCTCTTTCCAGAACAAGACTTCCCCCCTCATTCACTACCTTTCCAAGTACATTTATTAATCCACCGTTCACTTCCTTTTGCTCCTGGCTGCACTGTAGAGTAGCCTTCAGGGTTTCATCGAAAGATGCCAGATTGGGACTTGAACAGATTAGATTAGGTGACCGGCCGAGATCATTTTTTTGGAAGGCAGCAAGTGGGTTATTATCACACTTATCCATTTGGATCTGAAGAAGTTAAGTTGAGAGTGGAAAACAACTCCATGTCTTGAACATTCATATTGGTGTAAAATCAGGTTTCTGTGTTCAAGTTCCAGTCTTGATAGAGGTCATTTTGTTTGGTTACTGAATCTGATAAGCACTTAATGAACTCAGACTTATCCCCATCTTGATGTACCTTCAAAACATCACTTAACTTCAGTTTCTTTGCTGGTAGGTCTTATCTGCAGGACTACAGTCAGAATTCCTGTCTCCACTAATCCAAGTAGGGCTAGACGATATCTGGTTTTCAACATTGAGATATATCACCAGCTAAACATCGCAATATACCAATATATCATTATATCTGAAATAAGGATGGTTTTCCCCACATTATGATTTTTGCCGGCACTTGCGATTTGCTGCCCCCTGCAGGAGGCAGGAGAGAGCTGAGCCGGCAGAGTTAATGGGCTGCAGGAATCGAGAGAAACATTGGCTGGCTTCATGGTTTTTCCCACATTGTGATTTTTGCTTAGCATACACATATATACCATGATTCACAATATATTGCCAGGTCAAAAATTATGAAATCAGTATCATGATAGGGACTTCAAACCAGTTTTGAATGATATATTGCCCAGACCTACCAACCAGTGTACTAATTATAGCATTCAAATCCCAAACTTCCTTTTCCAATGCATCAATTCTGCTAAAGATTCCTTCTGCTGTTTGTTTAGACAGGATCGCATAAAAGTTCCCACAGTGAGGGAGTTTCAGGCTCTGTTGTGGTCGATTCTATTATGCCAAGATTGAGATTATGCCTAGTTTTTGTTATGGAGGAAGCTGAGGTTGCCTGGGAGCATATATATCTGCTCCTAACAAGTCTGTATCAAGTGACCAGTGAGCTAAGCTTTCATTAGAGGAATTAACCTTAACTGCTGAGCCAACTGACTTTTCAACTATTCAAGATTAAAACAAAACCATGGAGCTCAAAGACAAGCAGTCTTATTTGTCGCCATCTTCACCTGTAAGCCATTAGGACTAGGGGGTGGAGGTGTGAATTCCATTTAATTATTGAGGTCACAGGCTCAAATTAGTCAGTTGCACAATCACTTTAACATGCAGTAGCCTGAAAAGCAAAGGTGGAAATTGCTGGGGGGAAATTGCATTTAATTGCCTTCAGCTGGGGATAAGCTGCTGATTCCCTGCAATGAAAGATTGACCTGGGTGGAAGAATCTGTGTCACTACAGCAGAGTTTCCATTGCTCCAGGATAATGGAACATCTGTACACAGCCAAAATGTTTGTCTTTGGTGGTATCTTGACTCTACACTTGCCAATTTACCTCTGACTGCTCATCATAATATCTTGCAAATGCTTTTTAAATGAATTTTATATTCACAGTATTAGATACTTTGTATTTATTTCTTCTTAACATAATGCTGACAGTGCTCTACTTATTTTAAGTTTGCAGCAGAAGCTGCAGCTTGAGGAAGTACCTAAACCACACCTTGATAAGGTAATTATTTTATCTTATAGCCATCTATCAGCTCTACATTAAGCATGATTTGCTAGGCAAGTGTTTGTAACTATTTACACATTATTTATGTATCTATTTCATTTATAAAATGTACATAACAATGCATTTGTATCTTTTCTTTTTCACCCCTCATAACTTGATCAGTCATCTTGGGGTACAGGGAAACGTGCTAAAGTCAGTCTAATGAATGGTAAAAAGGGAGGAAGCACATAAGAGCTTGAAAACTTAGTAGTGCTGTGCACATGTACAGGTATATTTTTACAGCATATTGCTTATTTTTAACCTGCAACATTTTAAAGACATTACTGCTAATGTATTTACAATTTTTTGTGGTTTTTTCAGTCTTAAGGCTGGATACATAGAAGAGCAAGCAAAACTCCATTTGCACAGTCCTTCTCCACACCCAAATGCAGCCCTCTGTGTGTATCAAGCTCTCCTGAGGATTGAGTGACCCTCTTTGCCTTAGAACCAAATGGGATTTTTTACATTAGGAGAGTTGAAAGGAAATAATAATAATAATAATAATAATAATAATAATAATGGTAAAAGGTAATGGGACCCCTGACCATTAAGTCCAGTCGTGACCAACTCTGTGGTTGCGGCGCTCATCTCACTTTATTGGCCGAGGGAGCCGCTGTACAGCTTCCGGGTCATGTGGCCAGCATAACTAAGCTGCTTCTGGCGAACCAGAGCAGCGCACGGAAACACCGTTTACCTTCCTGCTGGAGCGGTACCTATTTATCTACTTGCACTTTGAGGTGCTTTCGAACTGCTAGGTTGGCAGGAGCAAGGACCGAGCAACGGGAGCTCACCCCATCGCAGGGATTCAAACCGCTGACCTTCTGATCGGCAAGTCCTAGGCTCTGTGGTTTAACCCACAGTGCCACCCACGTCCCTAATAATAATACAATAATAATACAATAACAATAAACATTTATATATCCCGCCCATCTGGCTGGGTTTCCCCAGCCACTCTGGGCGGCTCCCAACAGAATTAAAAGCACAATAAAATATTAAAAGCTACCCTGAACAGGGCTGCCTTCAGATGTCTTCTAAAAGTAAGGTAGTTCTTTATTTCCTTGACATCTGATGGGAGGGCGTTCCACAGGGCGGGCACCACTACCAAGAAGGTCCTCTGCCTGCTTCCCTGTAACTTGGCTTTTCGCAGTGAGACAACTGCCAGAAGGCCCTTGGTACTGGACCTCAGTGTCCGGGCTGGATGATGGGGGTAGAGACACTTCATCCGGGCTGGATGATGGGGGTAGAGACAGGTATACCATTTATTTCAAAGGCACAATTTTATGTGGACCAAATGGAAACTAATTTATGAAAAATCTCCAATTTTAATAAGGCTGTATAATAATATATTGTACTAGCAAATAAGTGATCAGAATTGGATTCACAACAAACATCATCATGGCAGGTGGATTTGCATTAGTACTGCAGTGTTCCTCAATGTTGCCATACTGAAGTAAACACCATTGCTTGGCGCTGTATTGCATAAAGCTGTCGTGTGGTTCAGAAATGTGTGAAATGCCACTTGAAATATTTTTCAGATAACTACCTCAGTATAAACTACAAATTCAATATATGATAGGAAAGTATTGGCAGGGGATTTCAGCTGATACAAAGCACTAGGAGGATGGGGCATGTACTGATACTAACTATGCTTATGTTTAGTTACGAACTTTCAGACTTAAAGCATTCCAGGGTATTACAAAAGCGCACATGCACACACACGTTCTATATATTTTATGGCTTTATTTCATATTGTTTTTGTACACTGCCATGAATATGTATTAAAACTTTTTAATTAAGGTGTATTTTGCCCTTATTAAAGAGCTGATCACAGCAAGTTTTACATTTCTATTTTCAGAGTATTGTTACATTCACATTTGAAGTGCTAGGAAGCACAACTGAAGAAGAGCTAAATGTGTTTGTTCAAGTAAGTGCTATATACATTGCTTTTGAAGCATAATCACTTGTGAATTTCTCTGTCATGGATGCTTTAGTTGAGATTCTTGCATTGCAGGCGGTTGGACTAGATGACTCAGAGGTCCCTTCCAACTCTACAAGTCTATGAATCTGTTATTCATCCACTAGGCAGAGAACAGAAAAGGAAACATGCACACTCCTGTGTATCGCAATATGAATGCCTCATTATTAAAAGCCCCTTTCTGTTTATAGGATCTTCTGTGGGAGAAGAATGTAAAAGACAAGAGAGGTAACCCCATGGAAGTAATAAGACTCAAGGTTCAGTATTCAGTCCTACCAAACTTGTTTTCAGAAGTATTGTTTATTTTGTTTGTATTGTGTTTTTGTTTTTGTTTTTGCTTGAGCACAAAAAGTGAATACATGCACAGCAAACATAAGCATAAATTACCGTAGTGTGTGTCAATTCAGATGTATCTGTTGAATCAGTAGTATTTGAATACTGAGATTTAGCTTTGTTCTGTTGGAGCCAGCAGCATGGCACTTTCCTGCAGCTATTGGGTAACATCTGACTCTGTAAACCTTCTGGGAGAAATCTGTGATATATCACTCCTCCCTATACAGTGGTACCTCGGGTTAAGTACTTAATTTGTTCCCGAGGTCCGTACTTAACCTGAAACTGTTCTTAACCTGAAGCACCACTTTAGCTAATGGGGCCTCCTGCTGCTGCTGCCGTGCCGCCGGAGCACAATTTCTGTTCTCATCCTGAAGCAAAGTTCTTAACCTGAAGCACTATTTCTGGGTTAGCAGAGTCTGTAACCTGAAGCGTATGTAACCCGAGGTACCACTGTATAAGCATTACCTCTAATCTAGGACGGTGGTGGTGTGGGAAGAAACCATGTTGTGGGCTCCTCCAAGGCAGCCCAGGACTTCTACTAGCACCCAGTGTTGTAGAAGAGGGGCATGCCATGATCACTGAGCAGGCCTTCTTAACCTATAGCTCAGTCGGTAGAGCATGAGGCTCTTAATCTCAGGGTTGTGGGTTTGAGCCTCATTTTGGGCAAAAGATTCCTGCACTACAGAGGGTTGGGCGAGATAACCCTCGTGGTCCCTTCCAGTTCTATAATTCTATGATTCTATACTGTTGTCCAGTAGAAGATTTGTGCGTACTTGTTACCTCCTCCCATGCCCCAGTTTCCAAGGTCTGTGCTAAATCCACCATTCTTAATGTGAGGACAACATTTCCCCAGTTATATTGGAATTTTTAAAAAACCCAAAGTACAACAATAATGTTATATCATAATAGATCATATAATTTTATATAATCAAATAGTTATAGAATTATATTTCCACTTGCATCAGAAATACTTTCTGTATTTACTGTAATGAGCTTAGCCTTTTCTCAATCTTTCAAAGTAATTAGAATGAACACCAGGCAATGTTATTTTTGTGTGTGTGTTGGCTACATAATATTACCACACCTCAAATTAAATCTATAGATACTTTCCTTTTCCAGTAACTTATTTATATTCTTTCTAACCAGGGACTTGTGTCTATCAAAAACAAACCTCATCAGGTGATAGTCCAAGGTGTTCATGAGCTGTACGATCTAGAAGAAACCACTGTAAGATGGAAGGAGGAGGCTGAACGAACAAATAGATTGGTTGTAATAGGTAAGAGCAGTATATACATTTCATAGGCCTATTGTACAAAATCACTAAAGAAAGCCAAATGATTATACAAAAACATAAAGATAATTCATAAAATTGTTCTTGATACAGTACTATGCAAGATCTACTAAAAAACTGAGATAATGTCAAGTTTCTATCAAGCTGTTATGGTCTTTTCGGTAGTGCTGTTTGTTTCTTCTTGGCATGTCTGTTTTTCTCTCTGTGGCCCAAGCTACAGAAGAGTGTTTTAAAATGTGGGGTGTCTTCCAATGACATATAAAGCAGGCTGTGGGGAAGAGCTATTTAAAAGAGCAAAAAGAACACATGAACGGAATGACAAGTTCTCTACCTATTTGTAGTTTATCTCTGCAACCGTTCTTTCCTTCAGTGTGGTTCTAAAACTAGAAATAAGCTTTAGTAGAAAAATGCACCTAGAGGGAAGTGAATAATGTGTTGGCGGGGATCATGGTTTAGCACCCCTCAGCTTATAAGTTATCTGGACAGTTTTGTATCTAAAGACTTGGATCTGTCGTTATCCACAAGTAAGTTTTTATCATGGACCTCAATCAGTAGCAATTGGTTCACAGCAGAGTAGCTTCACTGATTTTTTAGGCAGACTTCTTCCTTTTGAAGTATGGTAACTCCGGATGCCAGGGTTTCTCTCACCTGGGTGGAGGCAGTGCAAACAAGCTTGGGGTGAACATCTATCTTGCCCTGTCAGAGTGTTGAAGAAATACAACCTGTGCCATTGATGATTGTGCCTGAGTCTGTAGCTGAGGCAGATCCAAGGAACACACTGGACAGAAAAATAACAAAGCATCATGCCGTAGCTACTTTTGCACCATTTGCTGTTCGTTTAACTACCTGCTTTCCTTCCCCCAATAGCTGCTCAACTACAAGCAGGGAGATTAGTTAACAAAATGAACTTTCCCAATATGAATGAAGGGTTAGGAAATATGAGAGGTTTCATCCCCCTATTTTATATGTTCAGCTATTTGCAATAATATCCTTGTATTGAGGTGGGAAAGAAATTTTTTGCAGCAGGTTAGACAAGATAATGGGGCTATGCTGCTCTCTTGCTGGGACACTTGCCCTGTATCCCTATATCTGTCGTTTGAGTGGAACTTGGCTGTACTAAGTGTACTAAGTGCTTTCTTTCTTTCAATAGTGTAGATTATTGCTTATTTAATAATGCAAAATATTGATTAAAAATGTTTTTCTTTTTTGTGTTGTCCTCTCTATAGGTAGAAACTTGGATAGAGATATCCTTAAAGATGCCTTTATAGATACTGTGACTAAGAGAGGAGGAAATGGTTAATGTCATCTTCTGAAGAAAGTACCTGTCAACAATTCATTTCTATAATGAATGAGCCAGAGTCCTGGAGCTGTTTTCAGCTTTTGCACTGCTGTTAAAATTTGATTCTTCTGCAGTTTAGCAGATTTTATTTTATGAAATTTCATTAAATTAATTTCGTAAACTGGTTCTTCACAGACATTGGAATGTATACTTAAATAATGGAGTACAGTCGAACCTTGGTTGTTGCACTTAGAATCATAGAATCATAGAGTTGGAAGAGACCACAAGGGCCATCGAGTCCAACCCCCTGCCAAGCAGGAAACACCATCAGAGCACTCCTGACATATGGTTGTCAAGCCTCTGCTTAAAGACCTCCAAAGCAGGAGACTCCACCACACTCCTTGGCAGCAAATTCCACTGTCAAACAGCTCTTACTGTCAGGAAGTTCTTCCTAATGTTTAGGTGGAATCTTCTTTCTTGTAGTTTGGAGCCATTGCTCCGTGTCCGCTTCTCTGGAGCAGCAGAAAACAACCTTTCTCCCTCCTCTATGTGACATCCTTTTATATATTTGAACATGGCTATCATATCACCCCTTAACCTCCTCTTCTCCAGGCTAAACATGCCCAGCTCCCTTAGCCGTTCCTCATAAGGCATCGTTTCCAGGCCTTTGACCATTTTGGTTGCCCTCCTCTGGACCCGCTCCAGTTTGTCAGTGTCCTTCTTGAACTGTGGTGCCCAGAACTGGACACAGTACTCCAGGTGAGGTCTGACCAGAGCAGAATACAGTGGCACTATTACTTCCCTTGATCTAGATGCTATACTCCTATTGATGAGGTCCAGAATTGCATTGGCTTTTTTAGCTGCCGCGTCTCACTTAATCCATTCCGGGAGTCTGTTTGACTCCTGAAACGGTTCAGAACCTGCACTCAATTGGAAGCCGCGTTGGACGTTTGGCTTCTGAAAAATGTTTGCAAACCGCAACACTCATTTATGGGTTTGCGGCATTCAGGAGCCAAAACATCCAAGTACCAAGGCGTTTGAGAACCCAGGTACGTTTGTAGTTATTGTTTGAAAGAATGGGCTTGCGTGCATGCACAACCTAATTTACTTTAGCTTCTCCAAGTTACCAGGGTCTAGTGTTGCTATATTATATTGACTTGAAGAGTGACTGAAAAAAAGATTGTCATGGCTATTGATATAATGGTAAAACAGAAGGTAAGTTATCAGTTGTCACAATCAAATGCCATCAGATCACAAAGCTAGAAGGAAATGGAGATGATGTGGTCTCCTTGTCTTCTTGCACAGTAGACCCCTATTATTATTATTATTATTATTATTATTATTAATTATTTTATTTCTTTTTAAAAAAATATTTTTTATTGAATTTTACAAATAAAATTTCCATCAAAGCATATCATTCACCATTACGTATAGGATTCTCTCAATCCTTGACTTCCCACCACCCCTCTCTGATTTCCATTACCCTCCCCTTTTCCATACAGCTTATCCAATTTTATCTAAATTGTTATTAATATTGTCATCTTTTCCTTGTGTGTTATTTTATGTTACAAGTATTAATCTAATCCTACCAAAGTTTTTAATTGTTTGCAATGCTCTTTTAAATACATTATAAATTTCTACCATCCTTTCTTAAACGTCTTCTCCTCCTGGTTTCTGAGTCTCCCAGTTAGCATTGCCATTTCGGCATAATCCATCATTTTCATCTACCACTCTTCTCATTTTGGAACTTTGTCTTCCTTCCATTTCTGGGCCAGTAATACTCTCGTTGCTGTCTTTGCATACATGAAAAGTCTTTTCTGCTCCCTTGGAATTTCTGTACCTGAAATGCCTAACAAGAAAGCCTCTGGTTTTTAACAAATGTTATTTTAAACATCTTTTTCAACTTGTCATATATCATTTCCCAGAATGCTTTTGTTACCTTGCATGTCTACCACATATGGTAGAACGTGCTTTCTTTTTCTTTGCATTTCCAACAAATATTGGAAGCAGTTCTGTACATCTTTGCTAACTTCACTGGTGTTAAATACCATCTATACCTCATTTTCATATAGTTTTCTTTTAGCAAACAGCAAGCTGTAAATTTTAGGTCTTCCTTCCATAATTTCCCCCACGCCTCTAATTGAATGTTGTGCCCTCTATCTTGTGCCCATTTTTATCATTACTGATTTGACGTCTTCATCTTTTGTATGCCATTCTAGCAACAATTTATACATTTTAAGATAATTTTTTATCATTTTCCAATAATTTTTTCAAACCTTGAGAATTCTGTACTAAATCCTCTTTTCTTATCTACTTTGAACACATCATTTATTTGGTGATATTGTAACCAATCTGTGACTAACTGTCTTATATCTTCCATGTTTTTTAATCTCAGTTGTTGTTCTCTAAGTTGCCCATTCTACTTTTGCATTCACCTTTTTAAGGGATATCGCTTCTATTGGTGAAAGCCACCATGGGGTTTTCCGTTCCAACAGGTTTTTATACTTTTCCCATACATTAAATATTGCAATTCTTATTACATGATGTAAAAAACCTTTATGTACTTTGGTCTTCTCATACCATAAATATGCATGCCATCCAAATCTGTTATGACCTTCCGGGTCTAAAATATCTGAATTTTTCAATGTTATCCCTTTAGCCAGCAGAGACAGGACGCCTCATAATACAATTTTAGATCTGGCAGAGCGAAGTCTCCTCTCTCCTCATCTGTTAGTAATTCGTATTTAATTCTTGGTTTCTTCCTCTGCCAGATAAATTTGGTTATATCTTTTTGCCATTGTCATTCCCAGATTTCTCTCTGAAGTATTTTTGAAGCGTCAGTTTCTCTCTGAAGTATTTCTCCAAAATTCATCATTTTTATCACTTTTTCCATAAAATTCCAAGATACACTGTCAAAGGCCTTCTCTGCATCCACAAACATCAATGCTGCCTGCTTTTGTTCCTCACCTCCAGATACTCTTATTATATCAGTTACATTCCTTGTATTTTCCTTCATCTGTCGGCCAGGAAGAAAGCCAGCTTGGTCATGATGAATTAACTCTTTGAGCACCCTTTTCAAATGATTTGCAATAATATTGGCAAATAGCTCATAATCATTATTGAGCAGAGATAGTGGCCTATAATTTTTCACCAATAATATATCTGTATCTAGTTTTGGCAGTAGTGTTATGTATGCTTCTTTCCATGACTCAGGGATTTTCCCTGTTATCCGTATCTTATTCATAACTTCCCTCAGCGGTTATATCAGAATGTCTTGCAATTTTTAAATAATATTTGTCTGACAAGCTGTCTGGTCCTGGTGATTTTGCTACTTTTGAATGTTTAATTCCTTGTTGTATTTCTTGAATTGTTAGTGGTGCATTTAAATAATTGATCTTCTCTGTCAGAATTTTAGGTAACTTACTTTTTACTAAATAGTCTTCAATTGCCTCTTTATTTTCTTTACCAGCTCTATATAATTCTGTATAATATTTTACGAATTGTCTTCTAATATCTTTTGGATGGTCTATTATTCTACCTTCCAGCTCCAATCTGTTAATCAAATTTTGTCCTTGTTTCTTTTTTAATTGCCAAGCAAGTAATTTCCCAGGTTTATTTGCAAATTCAAAATACCTCTGTCCCAACCATTTAATTTTCCATTCAATTTCTTGGTTTACTAACATTGAAAATTGTGCTTGTAACATTTTTATATTCTGTTTTACTGTTTCCCTGGCTTTTTAATTAAATCTTTTTCATTTTTAATCAATTTGTCCATAATTTCATTTTTCTTACTTTCTCTAATTCTTCTTTGGCACTCACTTTGCTGAATAAAGAGACCTCTCGTTTTTTCCACTTTTTGGATAGTCACTTGATTGTCTAAAAGACTTTCATTTAATCTCCACCCAGATGTGGAGTTTTCTTCTCCTTTTAATTCTAATACTACTGGATTGTGTTCCGATAAAGTCTTTGGTTGTATTTCCATTCTTTTTATTCTCAGTGTCAACTCATTTGATATCCATATCGAGTCAATTCTGCCGGCAGATTGGTTTGACTCTGAATAATGGGTATATTCTTTTTCAAATAGGTGTTTAGCTCTTGTAATGGTTCTAGGGGTTGCTCGTGCGTAAATCGGCGCCACACCTGGCTGGGTTGCCTGAGTGAACCCTTTCTGTCCGGACAGCCACTCGCCCGTGGCTGTCTCAATCGCTGGCAGAATCTGTCAGTGGGTGTTTCTTAAACTTCTTCCAGCAAAGAAGTTCTTTGACGCCTAGTCTCCGCCTGCTCTCCCTGCGCGGAAGCCTTCTGCGCAGGGAGGGTGTGGGCAGCGGAGGACCCCTCTCCCCGCTGGTCCCCGGCAAGGAGTCATGGAGCCACCTCGCCGATTCCCCCATCTGCCCCCCTTCTCCACTGGTGCTACGCTGATTTCCTTCCCCAGAAGATGTGCTGCTTCTTTCCCTTCCGGGATGCTCTCCGGAATCCCTCTGGAGCCCTCCCTCTCCCCCTGGCTCCGATGGCAGTTCCCTGACATCCACCTCCTCCCCAGGACCCCCTCCACCCCCGGTGCGATTTTCCGATACAACCTCGTCTCTTTCCTCGGCCGACGATGCGGGGAATCACCTGAAGGAGCTGTCACCATCCTCTGAGGATTCAAAACCAGCCTCCCACCCGCTCAGATCTCTCCCCTCAGGGTGGACCTCCCAGTCTGATTCTTCTCCCTCTGACACCTCTCCTCCCTCCTCTTCGGAGGCAGAAAAACCCACAAAGTCCCCTTCGTCTGTAGTTCCAAATTCTTCCTCCCAGAATCTCGCTAGTGGTTTTGGCTTATCTGGGAACAAACTGTGGAATTCTTCCACCAGATACCCGTCATTGATTGACTCAGTGGGGACCCACGTGTTTTCTGACCTGGGTTCTCCTTCCCAAGCTACCAAGTACTCCACCTGGCGACCTCGCCACCTTGAATCGAGTATTTCTGTGGCTTGGTTGCAGTGTTCCCTCTCCTCTACCTGCGGGTGGGTGGTGAC